AAAAAAAAAAAAAAAAAAAAAAAAAAAAAAAAAAAAAAAAAGCCCATAGTTACAAAACGTATCTTTTCTTCCGGGGCTGTCATTAAGGAAACAAGGTGACATCCACATTCATTGCTTTCTGCATGTTCTACGGAGATGAATGATATATGCTCTTGTATAATATTTACTCGATTTCTAAAATGCTCCCTACAGTTTGGGGTGCCTGGGTGGCTCAGTCGGTTAAGCCCCCAACTTCGGCTCAGGTGGTGATCTTGAGTTCGTGAGTTCGAGCCCCACGTTAGGCTTTGTGCTGACAGCTCAGAGCCTGGGGCCTGCTTCGGATTCTGTGTCTCCCCCTCTTTCTGCCCCTCTCCCACTCACGCTGTCTCTCTCTCAAAAAATAAATATTTTTTAAAAAAAAGCTAAAAAATAAATACTCCCGCAATTTAAAACATCTATTGGGGCGCCTGGGTGGCTCAGTAAGTTGAGCGTCTGACTTCGGCTCAGGTCATGATCTCACAGTCCGTGAGTTCGAGCCCTGCGTCGGGCTCTGCGCTGACAGCTCGGACCCTGGAGCCTGCTTCAGATTCTGTGTCTCCCTCTCTCTCTGCCCCTCCCCTGCTTATGCTCTGTCTCGGTCTCAAAAATAAAAACATTAAAAAAACCCCCAAAACCAACATCTATTGTTAGCAACTAAGATGATACCAACAGTCTGGAAAAAGAGCAACCTGAGTGATTAAGACTCTTAATCCAACAGGAATTAAAATACAATCACATCCGATTATGCAACCACACTGTCTCAAGCTCGAATTGGACTTATTTTCAAGTTGAAAAGAACAGCATGTATCCCAGAGCGGTTATCTGCTGTGCTCTCACCAGGGACTCAGGCACTGCTATGTTCCCTTTATACCCGTCCGCTGAAAGGATAATTTACGCTCGTGACACAAAAGTACCTTTCGGGCTATCAAAAACTGATTCTCAGTGTGTTCTCGTAGTAATTTAAGTGGATTTTAGGAGAATTGCTTGAAATAAGACAATTACGGTCTCCACGTTCTTCTGGTTTCAGTCTCTCAGCAGGTGTAGGAATGCCTTCCGGTACTTTCTAAGAGACGGCCTGTGGTCGAGCACTCGCGGCAACAAGAGTCCTTGCTGCTCGGCGAGGCCGCCACCCCGCATCCCGCTCCGTTGCAAAGATGGAGGGAGCGTTCCTCCTGATCGACACCCGTCACCTGTCCCCGCATATCCGTTCTGTGCAAGTGCGAGAGCCAGCCCCTGGTTGTTCCCGGTAACGAAACATCCCGCCCAAGTCTCATCCCTTCCCGGTGAAGCAAACACACCCACGAGGCTTTGGACTGTGGCTTCCAGATCCCTAGGTCTCCTGGCTCAGTCTCAGAATCTGTTTGGTTTGTTTTCTGAATGTTCTTTTTAAAACACAATACCCAGAGTAGAACATCACGTCCTGAAGGGGGTCCAACGAGCATCGCGACCAACCAGTTCCGCGGACAGCGGCCTAAAGTGACGTGGCTCCGGGGAGGCCACCTCTGCGTCACTTATAACCACTCTGGCCAATCGTGGCCTGACTAGTCATTCCTCTCCGCCCATTGCTGGTGTCACAACAGAAATGGTCGGGTCGGGTCCGGTGTCCCAACTGAATTCCGTTTCCTTTCTGTGTCTTCACAGAAACCTTCACCAAAGCAAGGGCTCAAAGCCCGGCCCCACGACCAGCCCCTCCCACCAACCTCATGGTTCAAATGACCCTCACCCTCCAGTTACGAGTCACTGGAGAGTCTCGAGGTGCATTCAAAGCGGGCTAGCCACCTCGTTTCCTTTGGAAGGGCGTGAGCAAACTCGCAACACCCCTCAGCAAAGCTTCCTGTTCCGTTTGGATACAAAAAACTCTTACTGGCCATGTGGCGAGCTCAGACAGCGAGCAAGGCTGCTTTCAGGAACCGTGCCTGGGCTGTGGGCCGTGTGCCCTTTACCTTGCTAGCATGATGTTGGAATTTGGGTTGCTGGTGGCTGGCCCGGTGGGACTCCACTTTATGGTGTAGATCTCTTTGCTGTGGGCCTGAAGGTCATGGACACACGTATCCTGCTTCATACTCCAGATCTAGAGAACACAGCGGGAACAATGTGAGCAGACGCCGTCTCTGCAGCCAGGAATGGTTCAACATCACCTATTCCGTGAACCTAAGTCACGTGTCTGGCTCCTGGGAAGCTCGCTGCCCGGTCGGCGGGTGGCCGGCCACGCAGTGCCCAGAACAGGGGCGGACAGAGGGCTAGGGCGCCACGGGGAAGGGAAGGACTCTCAGCAGGATCCGTGACGGACACACGGACACACGGGAGTTAAGTGGGTGACAGCGACATCTAGTTAGTGATGGGGACAAAGTGCAGAGGCAGGAAGAGTGTGAGGAACAGTGAGTGGAAGCTCCGCACAGAGTACGCGGGTTGTGGCTGGGAGGAAGCAGCACGTCCTTGCAGACAGCCGTACCTTTAACGTCATGTCATCCGAGCAGGACGCTAGCAGCATTCCAGAAGGATCCCATTTGATGGCGTTCACCTCGTTCTGAAAGAGCAAAGGGTTTCAGAAAGAACGGCCTGCGAGCAGATACCACAACCCGCCACCAGGTGGCAGCAGCGCTCTGTCGTCTCCACCAGGAAAGCCGGAGAAGCCTTGGCGTTTCCTCCCCTTTGCCTCTTTTCCTTACTCCGCCTTTCACATTTGCATTAAAGCACAACCATGTGCCACGCGGAACCAGCCGCCTCATCTGCGTTTGTCTAAGGAAAAACACCGTCTCAACTAGGAAGGGAGCCAAGTGAATTTACTCATGATTCAGGGCAGCACATAAAACCAGGAAGACCACGGTTGTTTACAAACGGACTCTGAAAACCGCTTTCCGAAGTCCTTTCACTACGGCTGCTTTCCATCTAGATCCGTACCAGAAACTTCTCTTCTGGGGGAGGGGGTGGGGGTGGAAGGAGATTTAAGACAGGGCTTTAACGCAGGTTGAAGGCCACGTGACCTAAACGCACCAGCAGACGAACACGGCCGTACAAGTGGTAACTGTTAGAGATACACCCACAGACAAAATCCTCGAGGAGGGCAAAGAGCTCAAAACCCAGAGCAAACAGCCCGGAGACAAAATGCCGCAACACAGCACAGGTGCAAAGTTGTAGCAGGCGGCCGCAGTGTGCTGTGGGGGCAGAAAGGAGTGTGGCTGCAGACGGCCTTCTGGATGGGCCGGGGGGCGGGATGACCCTGAGGCCCAACCCCGAGGCGAGGCGGAATCCTGGAGGATGCAGGTGGACGCAGCCCCGAGGGACACCTGACCCTGGGCTGGGGAGGGGGCGCTGGGCCTGGCGAGCTGGGGAGCAAGCCTTCCCAGCAGGATGACTAGAGCCCCGTTTGCCCAGAGAGTCCCACCCATGCCTGCCGTCCCGGCCTGACAACTGATTTCAAACTAACAATTAACTTTCCAATCAATCTCACACTCCTAAGCGCTCTGGTTTGGGTGATAAATTTTATGGTCACGCTACTTGGAAAGGACACGGAGTTTTGAAGGGTGTGAGGCGGAGACGTGACAAGGCCACATCTGTGTTCCGCGCACTATCGAGATAGCCTGGAAAAAAAAAGGGAGGAAGGAAGCTTGGGAGTCCCAGGGGCAGGCCACTGGCCGGGCCGCAGACGGTGTTCGTGCGTGTGCGCGTGTACTCGAGAAAGCGGGTCCGGGACGCCAGCAGAACCTGGTGCCCAGTGACAGGTGCTGCTCCACGGACAGACTCAGCAGCACAGGGCAGCTAGGCTGGCTTGATCTACCCTATGGGCAGATGGCTCAGGGCCCAGGAGCGTGGAGCGGGACCCACGGACTACCCCCAGCGAGAGCCATCTGTAAATCCTCTAGGGTATAGCAAACCCCTTCCCCGGAGTGGAGTTTTCTCTCCCTACCTCCGCAACCCAAGTCATAATCACCAGAAGGCAACCAGGGTTGGCTCAGAGTCTCGGGAAGAAACAGGCTCGACTACATTTGAAAATGTGTGATGGTGACAGAGCTCGAAGTGGGACAGCAGGAAGTCGCAAAAACTTCCATTAAAAGCTGGGGGGGGGGGGCCTGGGATTAGAGGAGAGACAGAAGAGATGAGCAAAATAAAGAGCAGGGGTCAGTTGACTGACACAATGAGATGTTAACAGCACAGTCGATGCCTCTGCTTTTAGAAGCAAGGACCTGTAGGGACAGAGGCTGGCAAGGGTGAGGAACGTGGAAATGATCAAGTGCCGGGGACAACGGCATCTGTGACCCTGGCAGGTCTTCCAACAGGGCTGAAGTGAACGGGGTTGGGAGGCTATAGAGATTCATCTGGAAAGGCTACGAAAAGCCTCGTGTGCCCCACTAAGGAATCTGATCACACATCAGTTGGCAGTGGAGCTTCCTGGATCAAACGTTCCTTATTTTCCACCAACTTGAGGAAAATGCTGGCCATTACCGTTTCCAACATTTTTCCTGTTCCATTCTCTTTTTATCTCTCTCTCTCCATGTCACAAATATGCTAGAGTACTTCATATTGTTCATAGGTCATTAAGCCTCTGTTGAAAAGCTTGTTCGAGGCGTCTGAGTTCGGCTCAGGTATGATCTCGTGGTCCATGGGTTCGAGCCCCGTGTCAGGCTCTGTGCTGACAGCTCGGAGCCTGGAGCCTGCTTCAGATTCTGTGTCTCCCTCTCTCTCTGCCCCTCCCCCACTTGTGCTCTGTCTCTCAAAAATAAATAAATGTTAAAAAAAAAAAAGTTTGTTCGATCTTTTATCGCTTTTTTAAATTGGCTTATTTCTACAATGTCACTTGAGGCTCACTAACCTTTCTGAAAACTCCCATCTCCTGGTTGACCCCCCCCCCCCCCCCCGCCGCCCCACATTAAGATTTCCATTTCAGGGGCCAGTGGGTGGCTCAGCTGGTTAAGTGTCCAACTTCAGCTCAGGTCATGATCTCACGGTTCGTGGGTTCAAACCCCCTGTTGGGTTCTGTGCCGACAGCTTGGAGCCTGGAGCTTGCTTTGGATTCTGTGTCTTCCTCTCTCTCTGTTCCTCCCCCACTCTCACTCTGTCTCTCTCTCAAAAATAAAGAATTAAAAAAAATTTCCATTTCAGATGTTATACCAGTCAGTTCTCAGATTTCCACTAGGCTATTTTTTTTAGAATACAGTTTTCCTTCCCGTGCCGATATTTCCCATCTATTATTCTTTCATTACAAGCATCCTGTCCTTTTATGTCTTTGCACATTTTTATAACTACTTTAAAGTCTTTCCTGCAGAATCTGACGTCTGACTCCTCTGACAGCCAGTCTTTTCTCCACCGCCTGCCCCCAACTGGGTTAAATCCAACCACCAGAGATGCTACAAGAGCCCAAGCAGCAAAGGGCTGCAGGAGAACAGACCGAGCATCTCTCTCCGTATCTTTCAATCCCAGGCACTGAGGAGACGCCGACCACCTCCCAGCACGTTCTCCGGAACCAGAGCCCGTACTTACCGTGTGTCCTTGGAAGGTTTTGACGGGGCGGTCGCAGCCCAGTCTGCAGACGTGAATACACATGTCTGTGCTACAGGAGGCAAAGGTAGTGTTGTTCTGCCAGTCTACGTCGAGAGCGGGGGCTGGACAGCAGGGGACAGCGGGAGGACATGGACATTTACCAGTTGTGCACAGAGCTCAGTTGATTTAAAACAATTAAAAGCAGAGTCTCAAGAAGGCTGATCTAGTAACACAGTAAAAAAAAAAACCCTTCCCAGTGTGAACACAGCCTCTTTTCCTCATAGACCTTAAAGACACCCCCGCCTCCCCCCCCCACCCCGCCCCGCCCCGCACATCTGTGGAGCGGACACTCTGGAGAGACCCCCGTGATGGTTCACGTGCCCCGTGGCACGAGAGTCTGGCTCCCCTGACACAGTGAGAAAGTGGAGGGGAGAATCTGCACCTTGCTGCTTCCAGGGACATCACTGGTGCATGGGCCGATGTGTCATATTTTAGAGAGGAAAAAGAGAAAAGGAGACGGAGAAGATTTCCTATCCTACGCTCAACATAGCTCGATTTTTAAAAATGTCCCGCAACACATCAATGCACCCCCCAACTTCAGGGTACTGATCCCTTTGGGGGACACAACTGGACACTGGCTCAGGACTTGTGATGAACGCCCCTTCTGACTCCTGGGCATTTCCCAGGGGCTCCGAGAGCCCTGTGGAGGGTTTGGGGGATGGTGATGGCCTTCCCTACACCTCACGGCTCTCTCCCTGCACCAGACCTCTCCGTCGCACTACTCGGCATCTCTGCTGTCTCCTGACGCCTCCTGCTTTCTAGGAGAAAGCGGGTTAGCTTCCTCCAAACCTCTGATCACAAAGTTTTCATCAACTGGTCAATACCATAACCATGTCTCGTGTTTCTTTTACAGGCCAAGTTAGCAGCGGGTCGGGAGAAGAATGCAGAGGACTCAGGCTGGGCTGACGATCGGACTGCCCCTTCTCTTCTTCAGTGTTTGGGCGAGACAGGCAGGCCTCTGCAGGGGTCCACGTTCCACAGTGGGTGGCCGCACGAGGCGGCCCATCAGCCTCTGCGTGCGGCTCCGTCCCGGAGTGGCTGTTGTGGCCGTGTACTTGGTCGAGAGCGAGCACGGGCTTCTCCAAAAGCCAAGACCGTCCCTTTCGGTCACATCCCCGGCAGTGTTTCCGGATAGCCCCGCGGTCCCTGGGGCGCATTTCTCACGCGTACAACACAGAACGAAGGAACCGATCCCATGTGGTCGGAGTGACGCTCCCGTGAGCCTGAGAGGCAAGACCCCAGCTGCTCTCGCCTACAGCACCGCCCCAGCTACATCCCGAATTCCCGGGCCACCCTCTGCACCGTGCGGGCCACGTGATTCCTATACCTGGAAATAGGACGCTCAGGTGGGCACTCCAGGGCACTCGCTGTCTACCACCTGCTCATAAAAATTAACATCCGCCAGCCCTTGCCGTCCAAAGAGGGGACCCTCTGTACTTAGGTGGCTGGCCCCACCGTGAGTCGGCCGCTGTCCAGGACCCTCAGAAGCCCCAGTGTGATCTCACCATTCGGTGCAGGTGAGCGACAGGTACCAAGGCCCAGCCATTGTGGGTGTCTGCACGGCCTCCCGGCCCACAGAGGGGCCGGCGAGGTTCAACGATCAGCATTCGAGGCTCAGCCTGGCTTTCTCTGCTGTTTTTGTTTTTTAAAGTGTAATTTTGAAATATTACTGTTCCTCCAGGCTCCCCAGTGGTTGTGTTTTACAGCCCTACAGGATCAAGACCAGAAAGATGATGGTACGTGTGTGTCGGCCCATGCCGTTTCATCGCACAGAGGGCTCTGTGCGACTGCCCCCCGCAGTCAAGATCCAGAGCCCTCCCTGCGGCATCCCAAAACTCTGCCTCCACTGATCTGTTCTCCAATCTAAACTCTCATCATCTCGGGGCACCTGGGGGGCTCGAGTCGGTTAAAGCGCCCGACTTCGGTTCATGTCATGATCACACGGTCTTGTGAGATCCAGCCCCGCGTCGGACTCTGTGCCGACAGCTCAGAGCCTGGAGCCTGCTTCGGATTCTGTGCGTCTCCTGCTCCCCACCCCCCCACCCCCCCGGTTCTCTGTCTCTGTCTCAAAAATAAATAAGCATTAAAAACAAATAGAATTTCACCGTCTCAAGAATGTTCTATGTAATGGAACCATACAGCAGGTGACCTTTGCTGATTGCATTTTTCCCCTCCAGAGAACACCGGTGGAGATCCAGAAGCTGTTACACGTTACCAATAGTTTCTAAATAATTTGTTCCTTCTAACTGCTGAGTGGTGTTCCCCAGTTAGGCTCTGAGCTATCGCTTCTGGGTGATGCTGCTGGAGGGAGGCCCTACCACCAGGTGTTCATGGGGAAAACCTAGGAAGGCAGAGCAGGTTCTCAGATCCGCCCATTAAGGAGTCTGTGAATGCCAAAGGAGGAGACTCCCCATAAGCTCGCACTGGCTGCGTTTTGCCCGGGAAAAAACCACATTCCTTTTCTTCCATCTTTCCATCTTGGAAGTCTCTACACTCCGCTTGACTGTAATAAAGGGCAAATAACACCTAGAACTTCCGGAACCAGCAAGGGGCTACGGGTCTACCTCGTGGGCAGCAAAATTATGGGTGAGAAGGTCTCTCAGTACATGACGCGTGGTCTGTGGTCTTCTTGGGCCTGTGGGATGGGAAACCTTTCCGTAAAGTCTTAGACATGCTTTGGGGAATATTATATTCTGCTGAAAACCTTCGTAAACGAATTCTCCGAAGAGCGAGAGGAACTTTATGGATGTTTCTCTTGGCCATCTTTTCCTCTGAAAAGTAGAACCCAGAGCTTTGTGTGTTACAGACGTTCTCTCCCATCGCGTGGGTGAGCACACCGGGTGTTCTAACGCTCCGAACCTGTTGCTGGATCCTCTCCCACGACAGAGGTCAGGACACGTTGGGCATTTACGACAGACGACACCGCGGAAAACTAGCCCGATACTCTCACTTGCCATTTACTCCACTATGTGGTCTGGAGCACAGGGTAGCACGCGTATGGGAACACGCACAGATCCATGGATACTAGGTTGCCAGGGTCTCGGTCGGGTAAGGAGAGGAACTTTTTTCTTTTTAAGTTTACTTACTTATTTTGAGAGAGTGAGCGATGGAGCTTGGGGGAGATGCGGAGAGAGCGGGAGAGAGAGAATCGCAAGCAGGCTCCATGCTGTCAGCTCAGAGCCAGTATGGGGCTCAAACTCACGAACCGTGAGATCATGACCTGAGCTGAAGTCGACGCTCAACTGACTGAGCCACGCGGGCGCCCCAAGGGGAGGGACTTCTTAATGGAGAAGGGATTTCTTTTTGGGGGCGGTGGGGGAAATATTCCGGAACTAGATAGTGGCAATGGTTGCCCACGACGTGCATGCGTAGTAGTTCACCCTCACGGCAAATATCACCTTGTGTGCACCCCTCCCCCGCCCCACTCGATACAGGATGGAACAGAGAGCCGCCTGCATTTGTAGCTGGGCCTCCTTCCTGGTGAGAAATCACTTTCTGTAATTCGTTTGGCAATTTCCACATCATCAGTGGTGTTAGATGAAAGCAACATTAACAACAAAATTCACCGGCACCCCAAGCAGTGTATCCGCTGAGGACCCCAAGCTCCGAGGGCAGACACAGGAGAGACGTGCTACATCTCCAAAGCAGCAGCACATAAAGCTGCGACATCCGGGCTCTCCCTCGGTCCTAGCTGCCGTGATCAGGAGGAATCACTGCTGAAATACCCCCTGCAGTACTGCCCATCTGAACACAGTCCTAAGTTGCCTGGGTGGCTCGGCCGGTTAAGCCTCTGACTTCAGCTCAGGTCACGGTCTCGCAGTTCGAGGGTCCGAGCCCGCGTCGGGCTCTGTGCCGACAGCTCGGAGCCTGGAGCCTGCTTCGGATTCTGTGTCTCCCTCTCTCTCTGCCCCTCCCTTGCTCATGCGTGTGCGCTCTCTCAAAAGGAAACATTTAAAAAAATGATGAAGTTTAAAAATGATAAACCTCAGGCATTGAAGGGCACCTGGACGGCTCAGTTGGTTGAGCCTCTGACTCTTGATTTCGGCTCAGGTTATCATCCCGGGGTCATGGGATCAAGCCCTGTGTTGGGCTCTGTGCTGAGTGTGGAGCCTGCTTGGGATTCTCCCCCCCACGCCCACTTCTCTCTCTCCCCTCTACAACCCCGTCCCTCTCCCCTGCTCATGCACTCTAAAATAAAAAAAAATAACAATAATAAATAAAAACCTCGGGTACTGAGACTTAATGAGTTTTCTTGACAGACGGCTGTTCGCACGAGTTATCACACTGGTTTTGGGGGCGGGGCATGTCAGATGCGCCATGTGATTCTGCTGGGAGAGGACCCTTGGAAAGGTCTGGATTTCACTTTGTTCGCCTTCTGATTTTGCTTTGTATCTCTTCCCTGTAATACATCTGACCCTGAGGACATCTACCTGCTGAGTCTGGGGAGTTCTCCCAGGGAACTTTGGGGTCTCGGCGTGGTCTCAGGGAACCCCAACACAGCGTCGCCCTGGGGACAGCAGGGCAAAGACGCCCACACCAGTTCTGCGGTCGGTGACATGCATTCCCCTGCTACCAGCTAGATTTCGTGGCCTCCTTCCTGCAATCCTTCGTGATTACTTTAAGGGACATCGAGCTGCCGTGAATTACCATTTCTGAATTCCAAAAAACAAAAAAACAAACTCACCGGAATGAAACGGAAACTGTTGTTTGGCTTCTCCTGTGTGGGCGTCCCAAATAATTGTTGTCTGTGCTCCGCAAAACAAAAAGAAAAAGTTAGTAACTCTTCTTCACCGAAAGATTTCCCTAGAAAAATGTAACACACAACAAAAGACCGAGAACACCCCTTCCTTCTACACTGGCACGGTCTGGAAGAGACAGAATGTGAGTCACACAGGTCATTTTTAATTATCTGGGGACTACCTTTAAAAAAAAAATAGGAAAAAGAAATGGGCAAAATTAATTTTAGCAATATATTTTATTTCACTCCAACGTGGCCAAAATATTATTGTTTCAACATGCAATCAACAGAGAAACATCAAGGAGATAATTTGGCATTCTGTCTTTCGTCTAGATTTTTGGGATCCGGCGTGTGTGTTTTAAGCTGAACAGTCTGGATAGCGACATGGTGTGAACTCGGCGGCCCCATGTGCCGGTGACAGACACAGCAGCCGGTCCTGAGACTCTGCCCCGATCGGGGGGCACGCTCCCTCACCCCCCGACAGGGAGACGGGTTGACAAGTGTGCAATTAAGCACCTTTCTGGTACTTTTCCAAATAAAGAGCTACAGACGCTGCCAGCCCTGACACTTCCACGACCATCACCCCAAGAATCGGGGATCCTCGATACAGCCGAGTAGTCGTGACCCTGGGACCAGGCCCCAGTTCACGGGTCGAGAAACAGGGAGACAAAATGATCTCCCTCCACCCCTCGGAAAGCAAAGTAAATCCTGGATTCTTAGGAACTTACTGATCTTGGGAAGATACGCAGGGAAGGAACCAGAGGCCGCTCAATGAACACCACCGAAATTAAGTCTTAACCAACTGGAACTTTCACCTTAATTGAAACCTTTCCACCTCCCTGTCCATGGCACTTAAGAAAGATTTTGCTTTGGGGCGCCCGCGTGGCTCAGTGGATTAAGCATCTGACTTTGGCTCAGGTCATGATCTCGCGGTCTGTGAGTTCAAGCCCCGTGTCAGACTCTGTGCTGACAGCTCAGAGCCTGGAGCCTGCTTCAGATTCTGGGTCTCCTTCTTTCTGCCCCTTCCTTGCTCACTCTCTCTCTCTCTCTCTCTCTCTCTCTCTCTCTCTCTCTCTCTCTC